CCACACTCACTGAACCCAGAGGACAGGCTGGCTTCCTCTCTCCATCCAGACTACGAACACCTCAAATCACATGATGTTTGAAGAGAGAGGGGGGGAGACAAAACTGCCGTTTATGAAGAGGAATGGGTGGGCAGCCACAACCACAACACATCAGACAGGAGAGACTGCTCACATTGAACACTGTGCATTACTGTCACATCTGTGATAGTGTTAAAACAAAATCCTCATTCCTCATCACTTCTATAGGCTATGATGTCATCACAAGCAGACATGCTCAACCGTTGTTCTGCGATGTAATTTGGTATTTAAGGTTTACGACTGAATTGAATTTTAAATTTCTCTTGATCAAAAATATCAGAGTTTTGCATGTTGTGCATGTTCTCCTCTCTGAACTGGGTGCATTCACACTGTTCAAATATAAACACATTACTTGTTAACAAATTAGTCTGAAACTCAAAATCGCTCAAAGGACTTGATTACGAGAATCGAGTTGGCTTCTGTGTCAGACAATGAGTTTGTCTTGTGCGACAACAACAGTTTTGAAGTTTTATACACCATTTTAAATGCTAATGCGATGGCCCAATTTGCCTGTAACGACCATTAAAGTTGAATCTAATTCGATGTAATTAGCCATATCACACCCATTTCATTTCTTTATAAACTCATTTCAGCAGACCCATATTGTGGAGTTCTTTCCTAAGGCCATCTCCGAACCAGGAGTCATTTTAATTGCCACATTGCCATCTGGTGAACGGATGAAGTGTCTGTATCACAGCCATTTCATGGCCATCAGAGGTCTTTTTTTTACACCGAATGAATTTTCAAAAGTCTAACCTGAGGCTCTTGAGCTCGATGAAAGTTTGCACCTCCTTCCTCGACACCCTTGACTGACTGGATGAGCTCGTGTCATTTGGCTAGAGGCTCATTCACTCCTGCTGATGAGTCTTGTTTGAAATTATCAGCAGTTTGTTTAAAGCTGCCCTTAAATAAACACACACACACACACATGAAACCACAGTCTCTCCTTCCCTCTGACAGACAGTTGTAGATTTCTGGGTATTTGCTTCACGTGGATAAAAAAAATACACACTGAGGTTCAACTGTATAATTGGGATTCTTGTTTGAAATTCTGAGTGGACTTATTCTGTGAAGTTTATTGTACTTGATGTTGTGAGTATCTTCTCTGATATCACTCCAGTACTCCTAGAATGTAGCTAGTGTTTTTACAGTTATCCCAAACCCTAATATTTATATATTTCATTCAATGTGTGAACTGAAGAGTTGCTGCTATTCACACAGTGTGCTGCTGTCTGCAATGCACCACCACAGACCATATAAGAAGCGTTTTTACATCCACTGTACGTGAAAAGCTTTGACCCTGACATTATTTGAACACACTAGCTGGTGATCTGGAGTCAGACATCCTGAGTCCATCCTTGTACAGCAAAGACAAGAGGACACATAGAGACACATGTGTATAGAATAGAAAGCACTGTGGCTCTCAGAACTGGTTAAAGACCACTCCCTACAGATCTAGATTAAAATAGTCACGCAAAATATTTTTTTTTATAATCAACTGGCCTTGATTAAAAAAGAAGAAGTGCTCCTCTTCTGCATAACACTTCACACTTCTGTCCAACTGGTGGCAGTAGAGCACCAGAACGCTAATGTGGCAACTTCCAACAAACATATCGACAATTACTCAAACACATGAGTCACTAGTTACAAGTACAGTACAGGTAGTGTTAGGACACCGTGGACATGACATTCAAAAGGTCTAAATCAAGCTTTTCAGCCAGCTCAGAGAAACTATTTCCTTTCCATAACCTCTATGATCTGAGCAAAATATGTCGCCAACAAACCTCATCATTTCAGTAGCATTATCTTTATAAGGAAATAAGTGTGGTCATTGAGCTCAACTTCACTTGAAACAGCAAGGGGGGGACATTTACGCAACACAAAACCAAAACTAAAAGTAAGCAGATGTGTAAACACACTCTCATATTGCTGGTGCATGTGACATGGAAGTTATATCATCAGTGTGAAGGTCTATCGAGCAGAGACAGACAGGCTGCAGCATGCAGCTCTATGACTGCATATGAGTCACAGCATGAACATCAGACAGCTCACTCTCTCTCACACACACACACACACACACAAGGCCTGGATGCTCCCAACGGTAGAGTCACCGAAACTAGCAGAGTGACGACAGTAGTTTCTACATGAACTCCCCTCTGCTGTTTACAAGGGTAGACGTGAAACCATGCATTTACATGAAAAACATCAGCAGCAGTCAGTGAACATATGGTCATGAGTACTACAGTCTGATGTATGACTAGAAGCGGGTGAAATTGATTTTACAAACAGCTGCAATATTATTTTAGCTGTTGGTTCATCTGAAATACAATCAAACTAACTGCTGACCAACCTGACTGGTTCAAGAGAAGGGTATGGCATGTGCTGCTTATCTGCAGCTGCCTAGCTGACATTGACGCGACATAATTGTGTTTGTTAAGTGTGTAGATTTGCTGTTTTTCAGGGGGCCCCGAGTCCTGTCTGGACTTTACAAATGTGGCCCACAGCAGGCAGGAGGAAAGGCAGGAAGCTGCAAAGAGCTAGAACAGGTCTGCAATGTCAACCATGTATTGTCAATAAAGGTTAGAAGTGACAAGCAGTTGCAGGGCCTTGTGGCGCAACGGTAGCGCGTCTGACTCCAGATCAGAAGGTTGCGTGTTCAAATCACGTCAGGGTCATTGGTTTTCGTCTCATCAGTTACACCACACTACAGGAAGCTGCAGCAAGAAATGTAAACATACATCTTTCCACTTTGAATACGACTGATGCGGTGCTGATAGTCCCTCCAAATGACTATACCTCCGGTGAACAGCTATCTTATTATGGCTAAATGGATTCTCTCTTTTATGTTCAACTTTAACTCCACTGACACCCCGAATGTGGTTTAAAGTGTTACCACCGGGTCCAACGCTGTCACACTGACAATTAAATGGAGGTCACACACTAACACAAAAAGTACCAAAATAAATAAATAAACTAAAACATTGTCTAAAAACACACAGCCAATTCCAGGTCAAATCAAGCAGTAGTAGTAGTAGTAGTAGTAGGCTGAGTACTGCACCCATAATAATAGGAGCTGCATTGTCATTAATGGGTTAAATTCAAAGGTCTGGGTAACTCTGTTCCTGCCTGTATGTAGAGTAAAACAGGGACAGAGGCAGTAGCTAATAGGAAGAACTGGACGGACTGGATTTACTTCTAACAACACACAAAGAAGCAAACACCCACTCACACACACCGGGATAGAAATCATGTGTGTGTACACACAGAAACACAGACACAGGGCTTTTTCCACTGGCGTGAAGTACTCCGAGTCATTTACAGCAACTACCAACACAGTTCTACTACATTATGTCAGTCTGGTGACTAGCTGTGTTAGCCTGACTGACGTTGGTATGATTGACAGTATGATACAGGTACAGAGCAAACTCCACAGCTGGAACATAACCCGTACAATATCACTATTACTGAGCAAAGCGACATACAAATATATATAAATAATCAAAAAGATCTGCTCATATTGTGCTTGTTAATTGTTAGGCTAAAGTTCTGTTGATGAAATGTAATATTCGGTCACCCGTGGGATGTAAGGAGCCCACACAGCCACCAGGGGGAGCAGTTATTCACAGCATGGGGACAAATGGAAGATAATGAAAAGGAGAGAATATATATGTGCCAAGTAGTCTTCAATTTAGTTGAGTGTAACTTACAACTGAATTCTTTCTTTGTGTATTGTCTGTAAAGGACCACAGCAGATGGATGGAGGAGAGGAGAAAATAGTGCTTTAGACCGCCAGGTGCAAAACAGCTGCTTTCACCACTGATCCCACCTGATGTGTAACCATGGCACCTACCACGTATCCATTATACGGTGTGTAGATACACATGCACACATACTCTCTCACTCATACGCGGTTTCTCGACAGATGCACACACACAAAAACCGAAAAGCACCTGCGCGTCAAACAGACCAACTTGTTCAGATCTGAGATCAGAGTTGACAGCTCACTGGACTTGAAAACCTTCGACAGCAAATGTGGGAAAATGTATTTTTTCCAACATGAAACTGCAGCACAAAAACACAGTGTGTGTTTTCAGATTTCACAGGATAAAGGTGGCTCAGATATCCTGAGAAACCTGCTGACGGATAGGAATCAAAGATAACACTTTCAATTGAATCTCACTTGTTTCATCACCATTTAGAGGAAGACGTTGTGATGGCCCTGTTGGCTTTGAGCCATGATGAATCATTCATGTCATCACACCAGCACCAGGATCAGCTAAGTGAACTGGTTGAAAACCAGTCAAACTATTTGCCGCTGACAGAGGCACAAAGACGGGTTGTAGCTCACTAACTGGCCACAAACAGCTAGTGACTCAGGTGTAGTCACCACTGCTCCCGTGGGAAGGATGCAGTGGGATTGTGGGTAATCATTTACAGCTGGTCTTGGGGGTGCGGTGATATCATGCTGCCTATGAGATTTTTTTCCTCACACGCCCTTATACTGCAAAATATAGTAATACAAAAAACCTCACACACACACACATACACACACATCAAAGAGGAGCCTTGAATGTAACACAGACCACTACACTGTATCCTTAAACCCTTCATGTAGGAAAGCAACGTAGGTGGAAATGATCAAACAGGGAACCTGGTGATGTGCAAGTGTTCTGTAATGTTTTAGTAACGATGAGGGCGTAAAAAGGTGTAATCATAAGCACATGTCATTGGAGCTCTCTGTTGTGCTGCCAAAGAGTGCAGACACGAAGCAAATGAGGTAAAAAGCTGCATGGCAATGAAAAGAGGTGGCGAAACAGGACGTGACAGTTTGGGGAAATAAACAAATGAATAAAAATATGCAAACGCAGACTCCCCTTTTCTCTCAGTCCCACACACACACACACACACACACTTTGACTCACCCTATCTTTGTCGTCCACCACATCGCACAGCATGTCATCCAGGTCCAAAATGCCTCCATCTCCATGTTCCAACCTGTGGACCTGGACCCAGTAGCTGGGGTCCTGGAAGAACAAGAAAAAAAGAGAGTATTAGCTCTGGGATAAGATTAGCTTTATTTGCACCATAAAGACTAAAAGGATTTGAAGCCACACAACATGTTAGCGTTGCCGGGCCAAAGGAATTAGCAGCTTGTGTCTCATTAGGAATCAGCTGTGATCCAATCACCACATGGCTCAAAATAATGATCCGGTCAGCTGGCACACAGGGGCTCTGACATGGTTATGGATTGACATCATGATAGCGGTTATGAAATATTTGTATCTCCTGCTGGACGGCCTGCAAAGGAAGCACACGCCTCATGCCTTCCTCCAGGAGTGTAAAGGGAGAATAACTGTGATACAGGCACACCAGGAGGTGACACATTCATCACTTCTTATGGTCACATTCCCTGCGTAGGCGGTGGTAACGCTCCTATGCAGTTCAAAAACTGTCACCCTTCTTTTTTTTTTGCGTCAGCATATGAATATCATTCATGCATACGTAATGCCTTCAGGAACAGCATGCAGTGCAGATTAAGTCCTGCATCAACTCAGTACATCATACAAAGTCCAATGTGACCTTTATGAAAGATCAATAACTGCTTTTCTCAAATGATGATGAAAGGCTGAATGTTTCTATTAGTTTGTGCTTTATAGTGATCACAGTCTTGTCCCATTCTTCTCACTTAATGCTGCATCAGATAGTGGCCAGTAGGTAGGTGCAGGTCATATATATAGTTTGAGAAGTGTGAACATGTCCATGCATCCTATAAAGACACATTTACATACTGTATGCAGAACATAACTATACTTTTCACAGCATTGCCCCAGCATGTTTACACACCTGCTCATGTAAAGTCTCATTAGCATGCTGTGCTGCCCTTCATAGGCAGAGAGTATTAACGACAGAGGCAGTGAGGTAGGAAGATAATGGTAGAAGGTTTGCACGATGGCTGGCAAATTTCACACGGAAAAATGATTGCCATACACGTAATATCTATCTGTTTTGATTCTTTTTAATCCTTATAGAAATAAAATGTCTGTTATGCTGGGTCACTGTCTGTCTGTGGGCTTCTAACATTCATATTGGAATTAATATAACACATTTGTTTTCAAATGAAAACTACACTCGAGTCAAAAGCTTATATTGGTACTCTGCTAAGCTAACTCTGCTAGCTTTAGAGGGAGTCTGGCTGTTTTTTTATATTTTCATGATGATAAAACAGATTCAAGTCTTCTCAAACAGAGTTACTGCGTTTAACCTTTATAGAGCAGTATCGTTTTTGGAGGAATGTGAAGCAGCTTCATAGCGTGACTGTTAGTCTGTAAATACTGTGAACAGAATATCGTTGAAGAAGAAAGACGTGTGGTTTGGATGTTTGATATTCAGAAATAAAAAGTTGAAAATATATCCATTGGTTCTCTCTCCTCCATCAGACAGGAGGCTAACGAGTAACCATTCAGCTCAGTGAGTGTCCTTCCTCCTTCCTCACTCGTCTGGTCTCACTCTATTTCCTTCCCTCTGTCTCTTCTCCTGCCGAACTGAGCCGTCTTCGGGCCTGTGGTTAAATGCCTTCATGCACGGCTCTGTTGTACTCAACTCCGATGCGGTTCACCGGGCAAAATGGTCCAAATCATGAGGGGAATAACTGTGTGGTATTTTCCTTCCTTCTGAGGTTATTAGTGGGGGGGGGGGGGGGCAAGTTCATCAGGGGCACTACCAAACGACAAGACACGGCATCAGAAGCAAAGAGAATGATTTACTTCCCATGTCCGCTGAAAGAAGAGTGAAGCATTTCAAAAACTACACTGCAATACCACCACTCTATGTAACATACTACAGACAATCCAGAGGAAGAAAGACACAAAACATATACCAAGTCATTATAAACCACAAAGTGACCTTCAGCATTAAACTGGGTTGACATGCCCCATGTCCGTTTGGCATGGTCCTCATGCAGACTTGTTCCTCGGATGGATTATGAGGAACAAATATGTCTCTGACAGAAGCTCAGCCACAGAACTTAATCCCAGAAATGCACTCTGGGCGGAAGGAAAGCATTCGACGTTGACTGTTTGGATCTGACTTGGTTAGAATGTCTGTTTGGGAGCCAAGTCTGTGGTGCTTTGACTCCAGCTAAGAACCATCAGTTCAAGGCCTCTTCATCATGACAGTGTTAGCAGAGAATTCATCCCAGGCTGGGATTGGTTTGGATTTTGTGTTTTAGGGGTCAGCTCTGAATGCTTTGGTGAAGATACCACACACACACACACACACACACACACACACACACACACACATACACACACACACACACACACACACACATACTTGTAACACTTGTATTCTTGTAAGTATTAGTAAGACCTCCTATGAAGATACAGCTGTTCATGTTATCAAAACAGTGTGCAAGAACGGCTCGTCGCGTGAGTGTGAAAATGGAAGATCTGTTTGGCAGAATGTCGCAAATGCCACAGAGGATCATTGAACGTACAGAAAAACAAACATGGTGGCTTTACATGCAGTCACAGAATAATCCCTGCTGTGTTGGCCCTGAACAGATCTGCAGGCTAAAAGACGTTTTGTGTTTGGGCAAAGCAGATACGAGCAGATATGCAGGATGTGTATTGACTGCCGGGTGATTTAGCTCCTGCCCCAGTGACCTGTTGAGTCACGAGTCAGCGTTATTCATCCATTCATACATTGCATGAGAGACACACCACCCGACTAGTCCGATCAGGTATCCTCTAAACTGATCCACTGTAGAAGGTGAGGGAACACAGTGAGGTGGTTGTTCTCTGTGACACACACACACACACACACACACACTTGCGACATAAGCTCAGACAATAGCTCTCTTCACCCCATTATCTGTCTTTATACCAGAGTGGGTTGCTTGTTCCTGTCGAAGACCACACAAAGACTGGTGCCCTGGAGGAAAGTGGGGGAGGGAGGAGGGTGTGAGAAAGTGTGTGTGTGTGTGTGAGCGAGAGAGAGAGCACATGTGCCCGTGTGTGTTTTATGATTGCTTGCGTGAGCTCCTGCAAGTGTTCCAATTCCCACAGGAGCGAATATTAGCAGCTAGATCTACTTCTCAAATGTCCAGGGCTGCAGGATGACCTCGTGGCGCAACGGTAGCGCGTCTGACTCCAGATCAGAAGGTTGCGTGTTCAAATCACGTCGAGGTCAGGAGCTTTTAAGGGCTGAACAATCTTGCTGCTGCTGGCAACAATCCAGCAGGTCACAAGCTTAATCTTGGGAAGTGGAATTTGTGCGCTACGCGAGTTAATGAAGTTGATGTTAGCAAAGATGACAGATGTATTTGTCATTAGGGGAATGTTAAGCATTTGGAGAAGATCCCGCAAAGAGAGAAAACAGGCGGCGTGTTGAAACTTGGCAAACCACTGGCAGCAGTTTACACGAGAGACGTGATGTTCTAAGGATGGTATCAACAAGCTCTGCTCTGTAAGCAGAGAAAGTGGGAGAGATATGATAACTATAACATCTGGCGCAAAACCGTAACAGTTCTGGTACAGATAACCAACAGCAGCAGGCCATGCCTGAGGTGTGGCTATGGTAGTCAGCGGGGGTGCCTCCAAGTCTAGCTCTGTCTCCATCAGCACCACATACCCCACCCTACTGGTGGTCTTAGCCCCAAAGGCCAAGTACCAGCACTGCCTCTAGTGGCCTTGTGTCCTTGCACCCATCGGTGCCCCAAGATGCAGGAAAACCAGAGCCATAAGCCTATCACACTGGTGGCTCTGACCACAACACCCTGATGTTGAGGTGTCAATTTAAACAATAGAAGCAGTTGATATGTCAGTAGAAGTCAAAGTGCTGAAAAAAGTTTTAGCGTCACTTTCTACGTTTTTGGAGATCGAGCCCGGAACAGTCAAAGTGATGTTCCCTGCCATTGAAACTGAGGGCTAAAACCTGCAGGCTTTATTTAATCCAAACACTGTGTACAAGTATTTTATATTATAATATTAAACTACTTCTATTTCCACTCACAGTGTAGAAATCTAAGAGCTAAGTTTTGGGTTTGGGCAGTTATTGTTGGAAAAATCTCAAGTCATTTAGAGAGGACTGCACAGTCTCCAGAGTTCAGGCCCCACTATTAAACTCTGACCTTTGGGAGACCAGACCTCCTGTGAGTCATCACAGGAGGAGTTCAACCTCTCAACCTCCCACTTTCAGTTTGCACTCTGCAGCACAATAACAGCTGTGAATTATAGAGTGTATGTTCTCCCCAGTGAGTCATAAACACTAGTGTCACAAACGCTTTCTGCCTCTCTTGTGCATGAACACACGTACGCACACACACACACACACACACACACACAACTCCCGAGATTATCTGTGCCAGAACATTCACTGCAGAACGCAAAACAAATTCAAAATAGAAGATAGAGGACAGTAGCAGCGTACATGTTCTACGCCTGCATGTGAAACAAAAACAATGTTTTTACAATGTTTGTTTCTTTAACAGAAAAAACTGAATAATTAATGATTATTAAGAACATATGTGATCAGGGCTGAAGTATGTATATGATACACACACACACACTTCAAAAGAAACAGCAGTTGAAGAATGTGCAGTTGATGACAGGCAAACAAAAGCCTCAAATAATGTTAATGTCCTTCTTTGTGTATCTTCCTCTGTGGATTTATGGTGTCATGCAAACAAATACTGGACGAGGAGTTTAGGCAGCTCTGCTATGGTTAAGATGTCCCTGTGGAGCTGACGCTGTTCATTCATAAATAGCTACTTCTAATTGACCTCGCAGACAAGTTGGCTGATTGACATCAGACGTTGAGGGTTGAGACAAGCTTCTGTCTGTGGTGAGACAATGGTAGATTATCCAGTTGAATGTAATTCACCAGGTTTGCTTTAGCTCACTATAACAGACAGATTGTCCCTTCAGGGCGTAACAGTTGCTTCCAAGTGGATAATGGCAGTCCCAAACTGTGGGCTAAGTCCGGTCTGTCTGTGTGCAGATAGTAATGGGCGGGTACACCGAGG